TACGTGAAACTCACTTATATTCTAGCGTCAAATTCATGCATGAAAATTAAGCGTTCATTCTTAATAAACATACATAAATAGGTTATCAATCAAACAGTTAAACAAATTGAATTCATAACTTATGAAACGTAATTAAAAGTAATCAAATCATATTACAAACATAAACATAGTTTCGAATCACCCCCTAGCTAATGGGGGTTTAGTTCCTCATAACTTTGAAATCAAAGAAACGCCTAAACATTCCAACAACTCAAAACTTGAATTGTATGAACGTTTAAGCACTCTTTTCTTCCATTTCTCATACGTACAAAACAAAGAGAATTAAAATGAAACTTTGAAATCAAAGAAACACCTAAACATTCCAACAACTCAAAACTTGAATTGTATGAACGTTTAGGCACTCTTCTCTTCCTCGTTGTTGTAGCACAAGGTTTAAGGATAGGTTGGTTGGGGGGATGGAAGTGTTGGGGAATTATGGAAATGGATGAGGATTGGTGGAAATGGAAGATGGTTTTTGGATTCTAAGGGAGAGAAACTCAAGGCTAGGGAAGTGTTTGTGGTGTGTTGTGTTGTGAATGAGATGATATGATTCTTGAATGAATGAATGCAAGGGTATTTATAGGAGGAGTGGAGATGTATATGGCTATTTGTTTAAGGTGTTTGTGGTTGCAATGATGAAGAATTGCATGTGGAAATAAAAGGGAAAATGTGGTGAAATGATGAAGTAGGAAGGTGGAAATGCATGTGAGATGTTGGAAAGGAAATGGGAATATGAGTAGGCCATGGCATGGGAGTTGTTTTGTTGGTGTAAATGTGCCATGGTTGCAATGATGAAGAATAAAGGGTGCATGTGGGGTGGAAGTGATGAATGCAAAGTGAATGAATAATGAAATGAGTTAAAGAGGGAGAATGTGGTGAAATGATGAAGTAGGAAGGTGGAAATGCATGTGACTTGTTTGTGGAATAAAGAATGAATGGTGGAATGATGAAGTGAATGCATGTGGAATTAAAGAGGGAGAATGTGGTGAAATGATGAAGTAGGAAGGTGGAAATGCATGTGAGATGTTGGAAATGATGAAGAAAATGCATGTGAAGGGTTTGAAAGAGGTGGGTGTGCATGTGAGTTGAAATGCATATGTTTAAATGGTTGAAATGTGTAGATAATTATGAGTATGATAAGTGATAAATGTATGGTTATGATAAGTGAATGGTGAATGATATGTTAAGTGATAAATGAATGATATGTGGTGAGTGATAAGTGAATGGAAGTGATAAGTGATAAGTGTATGTTATGATAAGTGAATGGTTTGATAAGTGATAAATGAATGATATGTGGTGAGTGATAAGTGAATGGAAGTGATAAGTGATAAGTGTATAATATGATAATTGAATGATATGTTAAGTGAATGATATGATAAGTGAATGCTATGATAAGTGAATGCTTTAAGTGTTTAAAAATAGGGAACTAAACCCTTCCTTGCATGGCAAGGAACGGAGACACAAGGAAACACACGACAATGTCCTAAGGTTGCAAGGAATGTTGTTTTTGTGTTCTAAAATGCGTAGGAGTCTTCAATGATGCTTAAACATGAGGTCTTTTAGGATTTAACTTTCCTACTTCCAGTCTTTAATTTCGTCCATCCTCTTGGCTCCAAGCATATGATATCCATTCCAATCTCTAATTTGCTCCAAAAGGCATCCTTTTGCATACCTTGCCCTTAGAACCTGAAAACACACAAAAGAAGCATAAAGGACTAAAATAACTAGAGAAACATAACGTAAATGCACGAGAACAAGCCATTTAAGTCGCATGAATATGCTCCTATCAGCATGTACATATAAGGCACATCAGCCCCTCTTTGTTGGTCAATGTGGGATGTTACAATTTACCCCCTTAGGGGCCCGACGTCCTCGTCAGCATACTCGCACCACACAACAGAATGACTCTGATACCGTTTTGTCACATCCCAGACCGGCTCCGCCGTAGCACGATATTGTCCGCTTTGGGCTTACCATTCCCTTACGGTTTTGTTTCTGGGAACTCACATGAGAACTTCTCAGTGGGTCACCCATCCTAGGATTGTTCTCGCCTGAACTCGCTTAACTTCGGACTTCCGATGGAATCCGAAGCTAGTGAGTTCTCAAAAGGCCTCGTGCTATATGGAGGTGGACGTGTAATGTGGGATGTTAATATATATTTAGATTTGTTTTATTTTTCAATTATTGTCCGATTAATTTGCTCACTTTTTCAATATTTTTTAAGTCAGTTGTTTGACAATGTTATTTCTCTTAAAACTCACTATAAATTTATATGAGCTTCAAAAAAAAAAAAAAATTTGTAAAGTATTACAAACTTGTAATCATTTTATTTTTATCTCGTACCATCATATTCAACAAAGTAATTAAGAAAATTTGTCAATATTTTTATATATTATATGTTTTATAGTCAATGTTATACTTAATGTTTTTAGATATTATATGTTATATAATAAATTAGTCAAATCCACCTAGGTGATCGCCTAAGCGTTAGGCCATGCGTGTCATTGGACTAACGCTTAGCATTTTTAAAACTTTGCTCATTATACAATTATGCAATAGCACGATACAACAAGAAACGGTGCTTGGATCCTCGTTCAAATAATACTGTTGTTCAAATCCTCCTTTGAATATTTTGGGTAGTCCAAATCCTCCTGCGAATATTTTGGTTAGTTCAAATTCTCCTACGAATATTCTGGGTAGTTCACATAATCTTCTTGCAAACCCTGGACTTAGACCTTGAATAAATGTCCACAATTTTTCACGATAATTCCTAGCTTTGCCACTATATATATTCTAAATTAATACTCATGTTGGGCTTTTATTTGATACATGTAGTTCACAGATGATTGTATGTAAACATGCATGTATGTATTATGTAAGTCATTACATAAATGAATATAAGTAAATTAGATTGAGGTATATTTCTCTAACTACATGGTCTAGTATGATGTCATGCATGTCAAATTGTCTAACTTGGATTACACATTTGAAAGAAATCTCCGTAATATGTACAACGTGTGGTTTAGAATCATTCGATTGACAATCTTGTAACAAAACACGCTAAATCATCATAAACAAAATTAATGCATAAATAAAATTGTCGCAATGAAATGTAAAGGGTCGCAACCCTAGGGACCAACATGCATGCACCACTAAATCAAAACAATTCAATGAAATAATCATATGCATTGCTATAAGGCTTATTAGTTGAAATGCCCCCCGGGCCCCGGAGAAACTACAATTGAGTTTCAGTTTACCTTCTAAAATTGGTTTTGTCTCACTTTGTCCTTTGAAAATTGAAATTTTCAACTCTTTTGTCTCACTTTACCCACTTTTGTTATTTAGACTGTTAAATTTAAGGGTATTTTAGATATTTCAATTTTTACACATTTATTTATCTCTAGCCTACACACTAAACAAGTCTTAATTTTATTTTTGGCAACTCTAATTCAAGCGCATAAATTTTGGGCATTTTTAACTAAAATAATTGTATCAACTAAAATAAGGGTTACATTTGTTCGTAGAGTTACCATTAAGCTATCATATCCAAAATACTTCCCAAACCAAAAAAATCATTTAAACCAAGACAAATTTTATTTTTAAAAATGGTCAAAATTTAGGCGTTTGAATTAGAGTTGTTAACAATAAAATGGAGACTTGTTTAGTGTGAGGGCTGGAGGTAAATAAATGTATACAAACTGAAATGTCTAAAATATGTTTAAATTTAACAGTCCATTAACGAAATTGGGTAAAGTGAGACAAAAGAATTGAAAATGTATCTCTTTCCCACATCTTTTCTCTTTTTAAAAAAGATGACAACTGGTGACAAACTACAGTTATCCATTCATTCCAAACCCGGAGAGGCTATAGGAAATTCACCTACCCGTGGCCTATCTGTCCCACATCTTCATTCACCAAGGTTGAACATTTTTTTCTCTCTTTATTTTCAATGAGAAACATTCCAAGCTATTCTAATTTATGCAGAAGATCGAACTTAGATGCAAGGAATGGGCACACTACCTTGACCAACTGACCTAAATTACATTAGGCTGATCAATTTAACAGCTTATAATTTAGGGCATGTGATCATGAACATGTGATTAAGAGTAAATGCACGTAGTAATTAGATTATACCTCTTGGAGAGTTGAGCTGCTCACCCAGAAATTCACATGAATTGTTGGCATGACGTCAATGTTGCTTTCAATAGACTCTAACAATTAAGTCAACCACTCAATCACAGATCTGACTTCAGGATGAGTGGCAAACAATTCATGTGACCTAGTTATATGTATAATATTCAACATTTCCAATACGGAAGTTTTTTCAATACTATGTTGCATTAAATCATATAAGAATGAATGACTGAGATTAGAAATCAAATCTAATAGCTAAAATGCTCACAACATGAAAGCTATGATCTCATAGCAAAATTAATACTCTTAACCACTTGAACTAAGCGGAGCAGTGCAAAGCTAGAGATAATTGGAGAGGTCACCTTTACAGACATGTACCGCAAAGAGGAAGAACAGACACAGTAATGCTGTGGGATTTTAGGCCACAAATTTAAAGCAATTTGGAGACATTCCAACATAACATAAAAAGGACATTTAACTTTCCAAAGGACTGGAAAATTAATGGGTTTTACTATGCCTGCCACGATTTGAAAGCAATTTGAAAGTTGTACTAAACCATAAAAGTGACTTCTAGCTTTCATTTGAAAATGATGGCAAATTAATCACGAATCTAAGCCATCTTACCAATAGTGGAATCAAGAAAAGTATACCGTTTCTGATGCAAGAACGAGCATATAAGCTGCACAACGATAAATTTTTTGCACAGGTTCGGACTAAGTATGTCTTAACTTGCGTTGCCTCTGGAGCGAATTAAACTGAGATTAACAAGACGTTCAACTAGTGATGAGAATACAGAAATTGTCTTCAACGTGCTAGCTACATCAAGATTAACGAAGCGGCTCAACTAGTGTATATAACATTAAAAAGCTTCAAAAAGTTCGGCTCTATCAGTTTTAGATCATATCAGTTAAAGCAATCCCAGGTAGTTGAGCATACCATAAGGGAGCAGAATAACAAATAAAATTATATGCATAAAATACGCAAAGATTGTAATTTCTATCACTAATTCAATTGCAAGAAACCCTATGTCTATTGTACAACAGAGGTTCCAGAAAATTTACTTGGTAGACAAACTCCTACCGTTCGAAACATGGTGGCACCTGACCGTCAGGCTCCTTTCAACACTTTGAATGGAATATTCCAAATGACAGTGACATCAAATCGATGCTTGAGTTTCTACCATCATTTCAGTGAACCTTACGTAATTCTGCACCCAGATTCCTGCACACACAGAAAAATCACTACCTCTTTCTTAACGTGTCACCTTCACTGGTCTAACAAGGAGATATATTACCTTGTAGGAATTAGATTTGTGTTTCCATGTATACAAATTTCAAAGATTCTTGGAGCGTTCTTCGGATGATCTGTAAATACGATATGCAGCAAAACACATTGTGGCATTGCCTATTACTGTCAGGGCTGCTTGAAGAGCCACCAGTACCTGCAACTCATTGAGGAGGGCCAAAGTCAATGTAGAAATTTTTTCTCAAAGTCAGTTGCTGTTGTAATTGAAGGGACAATATCATAAGAATCTAGCTATTGATTGTTAACAAGTTATGATCATGATCAAAACTCTGTTTTTGGTTTGAGTTATTTCATTTCCCCGCCTCTTAAACATATCAAGTTTTGTAAAAACATGGAAGAGACATTGCCGTACTTACTTCAAGAGACTCAGAGTTATAAAAGAAATGCCAAGTGCATGCACATAATGCTCCACCAAGCAAGGGAACCTACACCAATCAATTAAAAGTTAAACTGAAATAGTAGACATTTGAATATTTATACAAACTGCAAAGCAAGCTCTATGTAAATCTCCTCAACCAGCCGGCCCCCAACCCCATTTTCTTCCCCAAGGGATAAATAGTAACTTGGAGACCTAAACTTTTGACTTAAGACTACATAAGACAAAAGCCGAGTTCTAAAATATGAGACCCTAATCCGTTTGAATTATAAAGTCAGTTAAGTAGAAATGAGGCTGCCAACTTAAGTTGTAACTTCTCTCGAAAAAAAAATAAATAAAACTTAAAGTTGTAACTTGTGAGCTTGTTTGTTGGTGCCCTTATATTCTAACTTCCAAGCAACTTAGCAAAAATAAGAAATTCAAAGATGATATCTATTCAAGTAAACAATGGTTGGCACTGAAGTACCAGGTAAAGGAAATCTACCATTCTGTGATACAGTTTTTGACATTATAGTCAACTCATGGATATGCCATCACTAAGATATACTCGAGACTTTTACCCACTAATGGTAACGATAAAAATCAAGCACGAAGGACAAATCGATAAAATTATCTGGAAGAATAGTGACCCACTAAAGTTCAAATATTGCTTGGTTGGTGGCTCATGATATTTGCTATCTCCTCACTAGTGTGTGTTGTGTAAAGACGAGGATGAGTCAGCTGAGCATACGTGTTTACGTGTCTTCTTTACTTGGAAAATTTTTAGTAGATTGTTCCTAACATTTGGTATAAATTGTTACTTCTTGCTGAGTTTATGGGGATTTGGGCAAACAAGATAGTTTTTCCTCCTTGGAATTCTGCAGTTCCGACCTCTACTTGGGTTGTGAGGTTGGAGAGGAAAAGTAGGATCTTTGACAATAGGCAGAGATTTTTTAATTTTATTTCAATCATCCCTTTGGGAATCATTGCCTAAACACTTTAGAAGCATTCCCTTTAGTATCGTCCTTCCTGATTCAGAGGGAGATTTAGGTTGACGGTTGGTGTGCTAGGCTTGTGCTCATAGTTAGTTTTCCCTAGGCGCTATGTTTGTAGTATTGAGTCTCCTTCTTGTTTTTCACTTCATTCTATAAAGTTCATGTTACCTATCTCACAAATAAACACAAAACAGGAAGAACAGAAAACAATAGTCAAATTTCTGCTCCTACGCAGGCGTGCTGCTTCAGACATTCACTCAAAAGGGAATATGAAAATCCTATGTAACGTAATTCCACTGTGGTTTTCATTTCAATTGCAAATCTCCCCACTTATACTAGCAATAGGAAAAATATTTAGTTATTTGATATGAATAGTACGGTTTCAGCCGAAAAACTAGTGGAAACAAAGGGAACAATCGCTTCAAAGTACTTAAATGGAGTAACAAGTTCTACATTATTCATGATAACAATTTCTGCTATTTGGTTTTATCATTCAACCATTGATCACTCCAAACAACCATATAAAATCAAAAATTCATCGCAGTAATTTGTAGGACTGGAATATAAACTCACCATCCCCCAAGACAGCCCTTTCCAAGATTCGAACCCGGACTTCTCCCCGTACTGCCACACCAATGCCATTGCTGTAACCCTTACAACCAAACAAACCAAATTCAAATTAACAAATATTCAATCCAATTAACAAGAAAATGCAAATTTAAAACAAATTCACGAAACCCCATTTGCAAAAATCACAAGAAGATGAGAGAGAAATGCGCTCTCTCTCTCTCTCTCTCTCTCTCTCTCTCTCTCTCTCACCATTCAACGACGCTGGAAACGTGAATGGCCCAGGTGGGCAAGGAGAGGGCATTGGAGGGTTCATTCAAGGGCAGCAGCTCAGAAGCTGAGGCGGGTCCGACGAAGGCCAGTGTCAGACCCGCCCCGAGTAGACCCACCAAGTTTTTGGGGGAATTTGGCGGTTGGGTTTGAGGTTTTGGGCGCGGAGGGAAAAGGGATTTGCGCGGGAAAGTGGGTTTTGGAAGGTGAAGTAAGGAGTGCATTGCCATGGCCGTTGGGCTTTTCTGTCTCAAGAATTGCCCACTGACGTTTTGAAGCAGCAGCAGGGTTGGAGACGGAGGGTATAATGGGAACTTAATTGAGGTCCTTCTGGTAGTCACTTACTTTGGATAAGGTGGTCATACGGGTGGGTGCAAGTTGGTTTAAGTCGGATTTGGGTCAAAATTACAAACCGAAATTGATCAAGTTGGGTCTAAAATCGATTAGGTTGGTAAACCAAATGTGGCGAGCTGATTTGGATTGGTTCTCGGTTTGTGTAAAGATGAAAATACATAATAAATTTCTTTTCCAAAAACTACAGAACATAACACTAATACGAGTGATTGTTCAAAAGAAACCACAAATAAAGCAATGCAAGGAGAGCACCAAGACAGCAGCTGCTGCATTCTCCAAATGGTGCCCCTATTCTTCTTCAAAGCGACTCTTAAACTAATCAGGTTTTGTTTTCATGTGGTTAAAACACGTTAACTCATAAATAACTAACCATTCATTTTACTACACATATTAATTATGATTAAAAAATAAAATTAAATATATGCGAGTTGATTCGGTTAATCGCTCCCTAAGAATTTTGGGAACCGATTGCCAAACCGATTAAGGTCTGTGCAGTTCTGTTTAACCACCAAAAATTGAAAAAAAAAAAAATTGATTCCCAACCACCTGTACTACATGACGGTTTTATAAACCAAACTAAACCGTTGTGTAGTACAGGCGGTTGGGAATCAAATTTTTTTTAATACCTAATCCTAGGTAGTCATGACTCGTGAAGTATAAGGGTGCATTTGTTGCACCGGACTTCTCGGACTGGACTAGCTTCAGAAATTAAGCTAGATTGGATTAGACTACACTAAGGTGGGATTAACTCAGTGATGCGTTTAGTGCTGTGTCGGACTAAAACGCGGGACAATTAACAAATTTTAATATTATATTATTTATGTCACATCCTGACTCGGACCCTCACCACATCCTGGGCTCGACTCCACCGTAACACGATATTATCCGTTTTGGGCCTTGACCATGCCTTCACTGTTTTGTTTTTTAGGAACTCACACGAGAACTTCTCAGTGGGTCCTGGGATTGCTCTCGCGCGAACTCACTTAACTTTGGAGTTCCTACGGAACCTGAAGCCAGTGAGTTCGCGAGAAAGCAATCCCAAGATGGATGACCCATTAGGAAGTTATCGTGTGAGTTCCCAGAAAAAACCGTGAAGGTGTGGTCGGGGCCCAAAACGAACAATATCGTGCTACGATGGAGTTGAGCCCGGGATATGGTGAGGGCCCGGGTCGGGATATGACAATTTGGTATCAGAGTCAATCTCTGGCGGGAAGTGTGCTGACGAAGATGTCGGGCCCCTAAGAGGGGTGGATTGTAAGATCCCACATCACCCTGGGGTGAGGATCCTGTAAGCCTTATATGTATATTCCTATCTCTACCCAGTACGGGGCTTTTTGGGAGCTCACTGGCTTCCGGTTCCGTAGGAACTTCGAAGTTAAGCGAGTTCGGGCGAAAGCATTCCCAGGATGGGTGACCCACTAGGAAGTTCTCATGTGAGTTCCCAGAAACAAAACCGTGAAGTCGTGGTCGGGGCCCAAAGCGGACAATATCGTGCTACGATGGAGTTGAGCCCGGGATTTGGTGGGGGCCCGAGTCGGGATTGACAATTTAAAGTTCTCGTGTGAGTTCCCAGAAACAAAACCATGAGGGTTGGGGTACAAAGCGAACAATATTGTGCTACGGTGGAGTCAAGCCCGGGATGTGGTGGGGGCCCGAGGGATTTGGTGGGGGCCCGGGTCGGGATGTGACAATTTAAAGTTCTCGTGTGAATTCCCAAAAACAAAACCGTGAGAGTGTGGGGTACAAAGCAAACAATATCGTGCTACGGTGGAGTCAAGCCCGGGATGTGGTGGGGGCCCAAATTATCACATCCTAGCCCGGGCCCCCACCACATCTCGGGCTTGACTCCACTGTAGCACGATATTGAAATTGTCACATCCTAGCCCGGGCCCCTACCACATCTCGTGCTCGACTCCACCATAGCACGATATTGTCCGTTTTGGACCCCTACCACACCTTAACGGTTTTGTTTTTTGGAACTCACACGAGAACTTTCCAGTGGGTCACCCATCCTAGGATTGATCTCGTGTGAACTCGCTTAACTTCGAAGCTCTGATGAACTCTGAAGCTAGTGAGCTCCTAAAAGGCCTCGTGCTAGGTAGAGATGAGAATATACATATAAGGCTTATATGATCCACTTCCCTGGGCGATGTGGGATGTTACAATCACTCAACAAATACTCTGCTAAATGAATCTTAACCGTTGGTGATTGAATGTTTCAGAAGCTACCGTTGTAGCGAGATGTCATACATTAATTTCAATTTCCTTGTATTCTAGATTTGATGGACTTGTTTGATTTTCAAATTCTTGATTGTTTTTATTGGTGTAGTTTTGCTAAACTCAAGGGAAAATTCAATATGAACCTACTCACTACGGTGTTATGAACTGCATTGTTGGGTTATGTGGTATGTATGTCGCTACTATATCTCATCGTGACACATATTTCATTTCCAAGTCTTGGAAAGCCTTCTTGAAAGCCGTATGCATTAAGCTTTGCCACGTATCACATTTCATCCTCAGACTAATGGTTAGTCTGAATGAACTATCCGGATATTGAAGGACATATTGCTTTTGAATATTTTATAGTTTAGCCAGTCATGGTAGGCACTTACCTTGGTTAAAGTTATGTGTAACTGCGGTTACATTTCTAGTTTGGCTATGGTATTGTTTGAGCCTTGGTATAGAGATTTTACGCATGGAACATGTTTGACAAATGAGTATTGGGAACATGTATTTGAATGATCGAGGTTACGATATAGAAATTATGATTATTGTTGATGTTACCTGTGAGGGTAGTGCGTGAGTAAAATATTGCACCCTCAAAAATTTGTTACTTGCTTATTGAGACAACAGTGAGTTGTCGGTATTGTGAGTTGCATACCGTAATATCAATAACTTATTCGTTGGGTTCGTTAAGCAAGTAGACAAGTAAGTCATTTTATGTTAGCATTTGTATTTGCTTATTCAATTAATTATTCATTTTTTGGGCTCAACCCAAAGATGTTACATGATTATCTTTGGAATATGTAACGCAACGAGTGCGTAGGTGAATTTTTTTATGTGTAGTTTGGATTTTAGTGCAATTATTTTAAATCTTACACTAATATACACGTAGTTTGGCATATGTTATTATATATCTATTTTGACTTTCTACTTTATAAAAGTATCTTATTATAGTATTATACTGAAGGAGAAGGAAAGTTTGAGTTTGGAGGCATGAAAGAGGAATCACTACACTCCGATCGTGACACAATGACATTCTCTTTTATGCAGGCACTCTAACTTGATGTCTTCTTTATACATCTTCTTTCTATCTTAAGTATTTTAATGCATAGCAAGTGATTTTAAATTTCGGGGATGAAATTTTTTTAAGGTGGGTAGATTGTAACAACATGTCCCTAATTTTATGTTTTATAAATTTTAAAAGCGTGAATTAACAAAAATGCCCTAGAGGCAAGGATTTTGACTTCCATTGAGCATTGTTTACAGAAATGTATTAGTCATTCTTTTGGAGTATTTGTGTAGTAATCATTGCCACAAACGCATAGGCAAAAGCCGTTTGCAAGTCCGGATTATAATGGTATAGTTACAGGCATTTGAAATTGGTTATTTAAAGTTTAGTTATAAATTATTTGAACTCCCACCTTGTGGGAAAGAAAGCCCAATCAATTTTAAACAAAGAATAAAGGACCAATCAAATTAAGGGAGGACCAATCTAAAATTAGGAAAAAAAAAAGAAGAAAGAAGGGAAGCTCCAACCATCCCGCCGGTCCATACACCCGCGCACCACCCGACCAAAATCTGGCGAATTTCCGCCATTTTTCTCGTTGAAATCACTCATGTGGCCTCCCATCCACCATCTCAGCCCAAAAACAGAGAGTTTTGGTTCCAATTTCGTGAAGGCTAACGCACGGCTTCTTAGGTACTAGGTGGCAATCCACCCATTTCTGAAACACTTACCTTCAATCACCACCACCAAAACACTTCTCTGGAGGTCAGGTACAAAGCCCAAACAATTTTAGGGCCGGTGGTGTTGCGGATTGATCGATTGAAGAACACCTAAATTCTAGGGTTGGGTGGGTTCTTGGCATTTGAAGCTTTTCCCGGCCCAATTGGACTTGGACACAGGTATGAAACTTGCTCTACTCACTGAGATCTTCATTCTTGTAAAATTTGAAAATTTTTAGAAATAGTGGAATTTTCTAACGAGTCGGGGCGACCAACCACCACGTGCGGTGGCGCGTGGGCCGAGACACCCCTAACCTTCCTTGGCTAAACTTGATACCCCAATTCAATATGTGATGTCCGATTAACGAAATTCCATTGTTTGGGTACAATTTCGCTAAGGTCCGCTACTTGGTTATTATAAGAATCAACGATCCGACTGTTGGGTCATCACCAAATTTTAATAGGTTATTATTCGTAATATTTGAGGTCCTTAGGAACTTACAGATCGGGAATCTGAAGTATGGATCTTCCCTAATTAGATTTGTAAGTTTGTAAAATAAAATATTGACCGCCACATGAATTTGCAATTGGTGGAGATCTGACCGTTGGATCCTTCCGAAACTTTAGGATGTTGTTCTAGAAGCATAATGTGAATCTTTGGAAGTTACGGATCAAAAATCTGAGAACGGATCTTCCGGATCGAGTTACGTAGGGTTGTAGACCTTACAGTCGACCATTGATCGACGATTGACTTTTGGTCAATGGGTTACAAATCATTCTAGAACGTCCTTGGGGGATCTGTTTTATGTAAGTTATGTGTCCTATCGATAAGAATTCTGAGACCTGATTGAATATTTGTTCTAGGTGGTGATCATTTGTGATGTCTCGATATTCGTGCTAGAGAGTCGTGGCGCGTACCTCAAGTGAGTGGGTCTTTTCCTTTTTATAGTATATATATATGATTGATAGTTCCACAAAT